CAACAGGGCTCCCCCCCCACAGGGCTCCCCCCCCCTGCAGGGCCTGCTTCTGTCCTATTCATCTACATAGAGCTGTGATGTCCTTGGAGGTTGGCCTTGCCTGCATCCCTGCTGCTGGGGCATCAGGACCAGCTCTTTGATGTGGCCTTCAAGGCATCTGCACTTGGCCTTGTCTCCTTTTCTGGACGTCCTCCTGTGCCTCAGCCCCGAGAATGGGCCCACCTGCCACCCCTCGCCCATCTCAAGGGCCTGCCCCTGGGTCTCTGTGGCCGTTTACCCCATGATGGGTCTTTCTCCATTCTGGGAATTTGCGATAAGGAAAACAAAACAAAAGCTATCTTTCATTAGTAAAAATTTATTTTATAAGTTCAAATGGAAAGCATTTGCTCATTACCAAGTCAATCAGTGAGAACAATGCCGCCGTTCTGGTGAACACCTGAGGCAGTGCGGTGACAACTGCAGTCTCCTGTGGGTTTCAGCACCCAGATTACTTCCCTGCTGTGTTTCATTGCTCAGTGCCAGAGAATCCTGGATCACGGAGCTGAGAACTAGCAGACAGGGGGGTTCTACTGAGCTCGGCACCCAATGTTGGGACAGCCTTGTCCTCAAGAGAAAACAGGAGCTGAGGAAAATGTTTCAGGGTTGAATCTCTAACAGTATCTAGCCACAGGAGGGCAGGGGTGTGCTGTTTTAATTATAAACAGGACAGTCAGAACAGAAGCACCCAGCTCTGCGAATATGCATTAGACTGAGCACAGAGAGCGGAGGAGAGAATAAGCACTAGACAGAGTGAGTGCATGTCACAGAGAGCGCAGGAGGGCTAAGGTTGATGTCCGAAGTCTATGCAGCTTCTGTCTGGGCCTCAGGGGTTTGCAGAATGACTCTGAAAAAGCATGTCCCTAGGCACCTTCCTGTGCGTTAGTGTCAACCAGCTCCGGGTCACAGCCAGGCCACCAACTGTCGTGGCTGCAGGCAGAGGCTGGGTGTCCTCCTGGGTCCCCCCTCAGTGCTCTTTGGGAAGCTCCATTCTGACATTCCCCAGACCTCACATCAGACAGGGTTTTACTTCACCATGCCTCCCATGGGCGGTGGTCGCACCCAGTGTGACCCTCAGGTTACTCTGGGGTCTCTGAAGGTGTCCTGTCCAGCTGCAGGGACCTCAGATATGAGTGGTCTCTTGCTTGTTTCTCAGCCACCAACCTGAGGAGCCAAGTGGCTGGTCTGGGAAATTAAGAGCCACTTCAGGGCCCAGGCACGTCTCCCATGGAAGCCCCAGGAGATTGCACTATCACGGGCGCCAAGTGTGTCTGTGTTTGGTGTTTCACAGGCACTTCGCTTCGCATTTTCCCACTCAATCCTCAGTCGACCTTAGAAGGTACATGCTGTTTACCTTCCCATTCTGCACCAAGGGAGTGAGGCGTTAGAAAGGTCATCTTGCTCAAGATCACTTGGCTAGCTAAGAGCAGAGCTGGGACTAGAGCCCAGATCTCCAACCTGGGCGCCCACCAGGCCTCCTGGGGCCAGGGAAATGTGGCAGGTTCCGGCAAGTTCAAGTAGGTGGAGCAGGCACAGGGACTCTGTGACGAGGAACCTGGGGAAGCAGAGGCCTTGTGGAGGCCGTCCTCAACCCTGGCTCCAGCCAGCACAGCCAGCTCAGAGGAACGGCTCTATCTCTGCAGCAAAAAGAATCCACAGAGGTGACCCTCCACCAGGGAGAAGGCTGGGCTCAATTTGACTCAGATCCCCAGACATGCTTAGGGACCAGGCCCTCTGGCTTGGAGATGCTGCCGCATTCTGGCTGCCCCAAGACCCATCTGTGTGTCAGGTGCTTCCAGCGCTCTTGGATACAACAGTGAAGAGACAGGTGTGTCCTCTCCTAGAGTCGAGCCTCCTTGGCAACAACAATGCTGGGTCTCAAGTTCCTCCACCTTGGTGGCAGAAACAGGTTTCCAATGGGCTCTGGTTTCTATTGGGCCTGCCTCTCTTGCCTGCTTGGCAGCTGGAAACTGGGGACATGGCCTAATAGCCATCACAGTCACACAGCTGGGCACCAAAGAGGCGCCTCCTCCCTTAGAGCTTGTGTCCCTCCTGGAAAATCCTTGTGTTAGTGACCAGTCCTGCTTCTGAAACAAACTGTACAGCATGAAACTCTTCTGAGACGTTGTTGAAGAAAGGCTACCAAATTGCCTTTGAATCCACCGAGCTTTCAGAAATATAGAGGGTAAGTAAAATAGATGGATTTCCCATGTGTCATTTAAATAGCATCCTTAAAATATACCTTGGGAGCGGCTGTCTTCTGATTATGCTCAACTGTGGGCCCAAGCAGGTGTCTCTACCCTAAAACCCTCCAACCCTGGGGAAGATATTGCAAAGACTGGGCCAAGAGGGTGGCCAGCAATATCACTTCCTCTCTCCTCAGCTAGGGTCCCAGAGGTGGGTGGCTTAGGCCAGTTTGGGCCGGGGCCGGGTTCAAACCCCTGACCCTCGGTACATGGGGTCGGCACCCTACTCACTGAACCACAGGCGCTGCCCCAGGCTTAGGCCAGTTTTGTTCAGCCAGAGCCAACCTGCAGGAGGTGGTGTGTGTCTGAGAACTGGGCAAAGGACTTCTCTGCTGGACACCTAGGCTGTCATGAACCTGCAGGCTGCTCCCAGCCCTGCTGCTGGGTGATGTCGCTAGGGTGGAAGGGTCTTCTAAACGGCAATGCACAGGACTTTCCAAAACTGAAGCTAGAGCACAAGAAGAAGTATTCCTTCAACATCATTATTTTGAGAAATTCCCCTGCTCAGGGACCAGGCCTAAACGCCTCATTCTTTTAGGTGCTGGTCATTTAACTAAAAGTCCTTTTGTAGCCTTAGTAGCAAGTCCTGTGCCTGCCCCCAATCTGGCTCAGCTGGGATCCTGCCAGTGGGCCATGCTTTCCCTCCTCTGGCCCTTGCTGGGCTGTTCCTGTGGCCTCATCATCAGCTACACCTGTGTGACTGCATCTTCCTCAATCTTCGGGCCCAATTTGAGGCCCTCCCCCTGGCAACGCTATTCTTGTTGCCCCAGGGGAGGGAGACCCTTTAACCCTTGCCCTCCTGGGGTCCCACCCGGTGCCCCTCTTGTGGCCATAACCACTTGGCCTTGTGGTATCTTGTCTACCTGCAGACTGGGAGGGGCCTGAGGCGGGCTCTGCGTGTCCCTCCAGCCCCCAGCGCACACTACCTCTTCCTGCGGCCACTATGCATGCAATGCGTGTGTCTGACGTCACTGACAGACGCTGTGGGCCCTTGCCATGCCCAGGGCCTTGTTTGCAGACACAGCCGGAGGTCCTCCAGCAAGGTCACCTCAGTGCTCACAGCCTTCTTCCATCAAGTCTGAAGGCGGGGGGATGAGGTCTCGGGGGTTCATTCTGGCCACCAGGCAGACATCATAGCTGTCATGCATGAGGACATCGATGGCTACAACATTCCACTGGTTTTCCCATGGATCCAGCTCCAATATTTCTTTGGAGATAACCTCATGGCGATCTAAAGAACAGCAAAGTAGGAAGACAAAGTCTCATGGGCATTAAATTCAGCAGCCACCATCTCTGTACTGAATAACTTTCTCTAAAAGGCATTGTCTTGGGCCACTTAGTTGTTGCTGTAACAGAAAACCTGAAACTGGGTAGTTTATAAAGAAAAGAGTTTTAGGCTGGGTGTGGTGGCTCATGGCTGTAATCCTAGCACTCTGGGAGGCCGAGGCAGGAAGATCACTTGAGCGTAGGTGTTCAGGACCAGCCTGAACAGTAGTGAGACTGTCTCTACTTAAAATTGAAAAGCTAGTACGGTATCGTGGCAGGCGCTTGTAGTCCCAGCTACTTGGGAGGCTGAGGCAGAATGCTCGCTTGAGCCAAGGGGTTTGAGGTTGCTGTGAGCTATGATAACACAGCATTCTACCCAGAGTGACAGAGTGAGACTGTCTCAAAAAAGAAAGAAAGAAAGAAAGAAAGAAAGAAAGAAAAAGAAAAAGGTTTATTTGGCTTATGATTCTGGTGCCTGGAAAGTTGAAGAGTGGGCACCTGGATCTGGTATCTGGTGAGGGCCTCAGGCTGGTCTAACACAAGGCAGGATGTGGACACACGCCTTACACGGGCGTGTGTAAGGAGATCACGTGGTGAGGAAGGGCATTAGAGAGAGAAACCCAGGAAGCAGCCCTCCTTCCACAACCTGCTATCCGGGAAACTAGTCCACTCCCAATCTACTCCTGAGGGATCTGCCTCCATGACCCAAACACCCCCCTCTAGCCCCACCTCCCAACACTACCACACTGGGGATCAAATTTTTTTTTTTATTTTTGAGACCAAGCTTCAAACTGTGGCTCTGGGTAGAGTGCTATGGTGTCACAGCTCATAGCAACCTCCAATTCCTGGGCTCAAGCGATTCTCTTGCCGCAGCTTCCCAAGTAGCTGGGACTACAGGCGCCTGCCACAACCCCCGGCTATTTTTTGGTTGTAGTTGTCATTGTTGTTTGCCAGACCCGGGCTAGATTTGATCCTGCCAGCCCCAGTGTATGTGGCTGGTACCTTAGCTGCTTGAACTACAGGCACTGAGCCATGGGGATCAAATTTTAACAGGAATTTCTGAGGGGACAAACTCAAACCATAGTATTAAGTACCAAAATCAACAGACAATTAGATAAAGATCTTTAAATGGAAGACAGAGCGTTCTTGATGTTTAAGAAACTAGGAAAGTCTGCGTTACAACAAATATTCAAAAATTATTCAGGGAAGGGCAGTGCCTGTGGCTCAAAGGAGTAGGGCACTGGGCCCATATACTGGAGTTAGTGGGCTCAAACCTGGCCCCAGCCAAAAACTGCAAAAAAAAAAAAAATTATTCAGGGAGTTCTGACTGGGCATATTATTGTCCACAGTTGAAAGGAGGTGCTGACATCTTGGGAGTGATCTGGCAGTGCTGTGAACAGGAATGAAACTGTCCTTATTTCTGTACCTGCAAGGGGGGCACAGCTGGAGCTATGTGACCCAGAGTCAGCCACCTTCCTCTCTGAGCTCTGCCAGGGTCCTTTCAGTAAACAGAGACCTTTAGAAAGCTATGGAAAGGGCTTAGGAAGACCCGTAAGGGTGGCCAGGTACTTGGGATGAAGACAAGTGAGGGGCTGCTGCCACTCCAGACCTGGAGGGCAGGGGGAGGAATCGGCACTGGAGCTGGGTGAAGGGAGCTGCTGGGGAGCCAGTGGCTGGAGCTGACTCAGGCAGAGCAGGGTGGATACAGCCATCCTCAGCCGGGAGGCAGCAGGGCCAGTGAATATCCTGCAGGTGTGGTCTAGGAAAACAAAGTTGATTACGTTCACAGATCTAAGAGGCGGGATTATGGCTTGCTCATTTCTCCTTTCAGTTCTATCAGTTTTATTTTATTTTATTTCATTTTTTTTTGAGACAGTGTCTCACTTTGTTGCCCTGTGTAGGGTGCTGTGGTGTCACAGCTCACAGCAACCTCAAACTCTTGGGTTTAAGTGATCCTCTTGCATCAGTCTCCCAGGTAGCTGGGATTACAGGCACCTGCCACAATGCTTATAGATCTCACTCTAGCTCAGGCTGGTGTTGAACTCCTGGGCTCAGGCAATCCACTTGTAATAACCGAGCCCCCAGCCCCTAAACTCCAGGACTAGTAAGCAATGCAACCAATCCCTTACTTGAAAAAAAGAATTTCTCCTAAGCCTTTTAACCTCAGCCCCCACAAGGGAGGAGAAGTTAAGTTCTGGGAAGAAGCTCGAGAAGATAAGGGAAGGGAGGGAGGGAGGGAGGGGTGAGCCCCAGATGAAAAGCGCTCAAGTTGGTTTCAGGCCCAAGTTGTTCTCAGAAACTTACCCAATACTTGTTTGCACTCTTTATTTGATGAATGGTGAATTAATGTACCTTAAGTTAGCATGTACCTCCACTCTGAATTGTGTAACCCCATATGATATACCCCTTCTTATGATGATGAAGTAATGTGTTTGTGATGTATCCTGTGACTTATGAATCAATATGTGCCCTCACCTCGCGACTCTGCCCTAACTGCTATGATCGGCTTCTGTATTGCGCTAGCTTGCTGACCCTGCAAAATAATGGCATAAAAAAGCACTTCACCTGCCAGTTGGGGCTGCATGCCTTCTTGGGATCCAGCCCGCCTGCAGGTGTAATAAATTTTGTCAATTATTGCGTCAATGTGAGGTCCACCTTTTTATCTCCGCGGCTCTGTCCCTTTTCACAATCACCTCAGCCTCCCACAGTGCCTGGATTACAGGCGTGAGCCACTGTGCCCAGACTCAGTTCTATCAGTTTTAGTTTCATGTATTTTAAGGCTTTTTGTTAGGTGCATACACATTTAGCATGATTATGCTTTTAGGCAAATTAATCATCTTATCATTAAGTAATGTCCCTTCTTATCCTTGGTAATTTACCTGGATGATATTAATATAGCCACCCCACTGTTCTGATTAGTGGGTGAATGGCACAGGTTTTCCCATCCTTTTATTTTAACCTACGTATGCCATTCTATTCAAATTGATTTCTTGTAGACAGCATATAGTTAGGTCTGGTTTCTTGACACATTGTGACCATCTTTATCTTTTAATTAATTTGATTAGACCGCAGACAATAGCCATAGACCGTATAAGTGAACAGACTGGATGCTTTCTAATAAAATTTATTTATAAAAAATGGTGCTGGGCTGGATTCACCTTGTGGGCTAGTGTTTGCCAACCCCTGGTTTTGACCACTATGTTTTTTTTATTTTTTTAAGACAGGAGCCTCAGGCTGTCGCCCTGGGTAGAGTGCCATGGCATCACAGCTCACAGCAACCTCCAACTCCTGGGCTCAAGCCAGTCTCCTGCCTCAGCCTCTCAAGTAGCTGGGACCACAGGTGTCCACCACAATGCCCGGCTATTTTTTGGTTGCAGCCATCATTGTTGTTTGGTGGGCTTGGGCTTGATTCGAACCCGCCACCTTGTGTGTACATGGCTGGCGCTTTAGCCACTTGAGCCACAGGCGGCGAGCTTGACCACTATGTTTAAGGTAAATATTTATATGTTTGGATTTAGGTCTACCATTTTATTATTTTTTAAAAAAAATTTCCCCTTTCTAGTCTCCTATCTGGATTATTTGATTTGAATTTATTGAGCTTTTGACTATATCTGTTTGTATAGTTTTTTTCTTTAGTACTTGCACTACAGATTATAATACACATACTTAATTTTTAACAGATTCCTTTGATTTAACATGTTATCATTTCAAGTGAAATGTATGACTCTTTCCATCATTTAAGTCCTGTGTTCTTCCCCCTTGTGCTGTAACTACTGTCACAAGGAAACATGGCCCAGGGAAATGACCCTTAATGATGTTCAAATTTTTACTGTCAGAAATCATATATAGTCCAAAGAACTGAAAAGAAGAAAAATAGTCCATTATATTTACCCAGATATTTTTAATTTAAAATTTTTTTTCTTTGAGACAGAGTCTCATTATGTCACCCTTGGTAGAGTACCGTAGCGTCACAGCTCACAGCAACCTCAAACTCTTGGGCTTAGGCAATTCTCTTGCCTCACCCTCTGGAGTAGCTGGGACTACCTGGGCCCACCACAACACCCGGCTATTTTTTTATAGTTGCAGTTGTCAGTGTCGTTTGGCCGACCAAGGCTGCGTTCGAATCCACCAACCCTGGTGTATGTGGCCGGTGCCCTAGCCGCTGAGCTATAGGTGCTGAGCCCAAAAATTTTTTCCTTTTTTTATTTTATACCCAGTTGATCATTTCTGTTTCTTTTCCTTGATTCCCCAGGTTTCCAGTTTCTCTGTGGTATCATTTGCTTTCCATTTGAAGAACTTTCTTCAACTTTTTTTCTAACAGTGTATTTGCTAGGAATGGATTCTAGTTTTTTTTCATTTGAGAATATCTTAATTTTGCTTTCATTCTCAAGGGTATCTTTGCTGAATATAGAACCCAGACAGTTCTTTTTATTGGTACTTTAACATTTTCATTCCATTGTTTTTTTGGCTTCTATGGTTTAAAAATCCAGCTGTTCCAACGATCGCTCCCTCATATGCTATCTGTTGTTTTCCTCTGGCTTCTCTTAAGATTTTTTTCTTTATCTTGGTTGTGATGTGTTTGTGTGTTGAGTTTTCCAAGTTCATCCTGTTTTAGTTTTGTGGGCTTTTAAAATCTATAAATTTACATTATTTGCTAAATTTGACACGTTTCAGCCATTATTACTCCAAATCTTTTTTTTTTTTTTTTTCTGCATCCATATTCTTTCTCTTTTATTTTTGGGATATAATGACATTTATGTTGGATTTTTTTGGTTTTGTCTCTTAGGACCCTGAGCTCTGTTCACTTTTACAAATCTTTTTCCTCTTTTTTATTTAGCTTAAGGAATTTTTGTTTGTCTGTCTTCAAATGCACTCACTGCTCCTTGTCATTGTGTTATCACGTCCATTCAGTTCTATTAACATTTTGGTTAGTTTATTTTTTAGTTCTAAAATTTCCATTTGGTT